AACTGAAGCTAACGCTAAAGCACTAATCATATACACTGGTTCTAAGGTTGCTAAAGTGTAACCACACAGAATTTACCAGAAGCTAATACGAGATGCTAATCATTAAGATTAGCTCTGCTAACAATAAATCGCTACACCAACACAACAATAAGCTAATGTAAGCTAATTAGCTTACATTAGCTAATTAGCTAATGTAAGCTAATTAGCTAATGTAAGCTAATTAGATTACATTAGCTTATTTAATGTAAGCTAATTCTAAAGTGCAAATCATAAACATTAGCTTAGCTATAGTGCAACACCTACACAGCAATCAACAACAGCTAATGCTAACTTGCTAATGCATCCATCTATGATTTATTGTTGTAAACTGGGGGTTTACTGGAGTTACTGGGAATGTAGAACTGATACTGGGAGCTGATATATAGGAGTCAGGGGGAATAAACAGGAAGTTTTCAGCTGTTTAACCTTTGACCCTGAATGAAGATGCTGTTGCAGTGACTGAGGGGAAATGGCTGCTTCCCAGATAAATGAGTTCATTTTCTCCAGCGTCTGAAGATGGAAACGGACCAGAACCGTTTCAGAACAATAAACAGGAAGCGGACCTCCTTACAGCCCGACGCGGAGCGGAGCGCCTGCTGCCCTCGGGGGGGATGCGGGTTGCCAGATTGGTGGACGGCAGCTCTAATAGAGTCCAGTTTATTGCTGTCTCTCTCCATCAGACTCACAGCTCTGCTGCTCTCGCACTGGCTAACCGCTAACTTAGCTTCTACCGGTTTGTTCTGGACGGATTCAGGTCCAAAACATCCCAGAAACCTCAGCTTTCTGCTCTGAACTGAAACCAGGTGATAAACCTGGTGAACATGAACCAGAACCAGAACCAGAACCAGAACCCAGTCGGCTTCATCTCTGTTTTCTGTTTCAGGGTTTTATGATTTCCCACCTCTACATCGAACTGTTTAACTGTAGTGGTTAATGTTGCAGAACCGTCCACAACATTTACCCAGAATCCCTCATGATCAGCGCCGTGAGACGGGCCGACCCGGACCTCACCGATCAAATACGAGCAGAACATTAATTCGAGCAAACAGAACCGGCGCTGTTCTGTTTGCTCATTTCTGTTGTGATTCAACCGGGTTCTGGTTCTGGTTCATGCTGCCTCTGCAGCCTCCAGGTCAGTAACCTGAGCAAGATGGCCGACCAGCAGACCCAACCACTGAAGCCGCTGACTCAGCGACACAAGGTCAGCAGCTTCAATGTCTCCGTGGCGACGGAGCTGGCAGCCCACGGAGGCTCCTCCTCTTCCTCCTCTTCCTCGCCACGAGGAAGAGTACGACTCCTCTTCCTCGCCACGAGGAAGAGTACGGCTCCTCTTCCTCGCCACGAGGAAGAGTACGGCTCCTCCTCCAGGAAACACCTGAATGTTTGCAGTTTATTCAAACTTTTATAAAAAATATCTTTTTTAAAACCATACAGACACTAAATGGTACAACAGATCATCAGTAGGAGGGGCTTAGCGCTGTTAATCATGCCTGTGGCTATGCTAAATAGCCTTAGCATCCATTTCACAAAACAATTAATACACAAAACAAACAACTTGCTTCAGAAGGAGTGTAATGACAGGTTTCGTCCTGCAGGAGGCGATATACTCTCTCTATTGAATGTTTTGTATCAACATGGTTGGAGTTAGCGCTTTAGCATTAGCTTCCATGGCTCTGAAACGACGTGAATCAAGTTTATCAAAGGAGATAAAACAGCTGAACGTCTCTATTGTCATAAAACTTTATTTCATTCCTCTTCAGTCGGTATTGATGAGTTTCTGGCCGAGTTTCGGCGGCGCTCTGTTTCTGACTCGCCCTGCGGTCCGTCATCCTGACTGATGGCTCATCCAATCGGCTCGCCTTCGCTTCCCTCCAATCAGATCCGATTTGTAGGGATCAGCTTTGATTTGCAGCTCAATCAGATGTTTATGGAGTCAGAGAGAGGCAGCGAGGGAATTCATCTGACAGCTTCTGTTTCCGGCGGCTGGAGAGGCGTCGGATCAATTTGCAGCCATTATGGATATTATTGCTCAAACTGCTCCAGAGTTCAGACTCCTCTTGTGAAGTCAGACGTCAGGATGAGCCGCTTGATGAGACACTCGTCTTCCTCTCTGCTCGTCTTCCTCTCTGCTCGTCTTCCTCTCTGCTCGTCTTCCTCTCTGCTCGTCTTCCTCTCTGCTCGTCTTCCTCTCTGCTCGTCTTCACAAATCACTCAGCGGCACTTCGAGACGAAAACATTTTGATTTCTGTCATATTAAATCAAGTAGAGATATATCAATATATTAATGTATGATCGATGTATCGGCTCGATTACTGAAACTCATGATGTTGGTCATGGTGAAGCAGCAAAGGATTATGGGAGTGCAACTGAAGCAGAGAAGCAATCTGACATATTTCTGATATCGGAAATATGTCCGATGTCAATAAATATCGGTTATCAGCCATATCAGCAGTATTAGTATTGACACCGTTCAACGTTCATGTGACCATCTCAGTGAATAAATATGATCGGACTCAATCGAAACGTTTTCAACATTTTTAATGAGATTAATAAAACATAAAGCTTCATTTCATAGAAACAATGAAAATATTTCTGTTGATTTAAGTATTTATGTAACAGGGCGACTAATGGACCGGCCCGGTTCTGTCATGGTTCTCATTTTAACTGCAGTTTGTGGAGTCCTTTATTTAGAAAAAGCTTTTATTTTGAAAAATATCAGCTTCTCCTCTGAGTTTCTGCTCTGCAGTTGGAGCCTGGAGTTGGTAACCAGGAAAACCCGGAGTGGAATATTCGGTCCATCAAGTGGAACGGATTCTTTCAGGAAGCAATAAAAACAGGCAGACAGGAATATTTTACCGTTCAACTTGTTACAGCTGTGCAGTGTGAGCGGGGTTCCCCAAGGCTCTGTTCTCGAGTCACTTTTATTTATTTGATCTACTTATTTCACAACCTCAGCTTAATTTTATTACCATCTATGCAGATGACATCATTGTATATTTCTGTCACCACATGACTGCTTTACTCAATAAATTAGTGGTAATATCTGGTGTGCACATTCTATGTTTTTCCATTTTGTAAATAAACTATCTGCTTTTTTATGTTTCCGGATGTGAATGTACCAGAATAAATAAAATAAAAGTCCTTTATTTTATCTCACTTGTAAAAACTTTTAGTTTTTAAAGTTGAACTGTTCCTGAATCAGTTCCTAAAGCGAGTTTGGGTCCAGACTTGTCCTGTTTCACAGTGAATTGCTTTAATGAAACGATCAATAGTGTCAGTTATTGAAAGCTGATTGGTTCAAGTCCCGGTTTAGATTGCTCAACGGCGCGTTTGGGATGCACACACTGAAAGTTGCTCAACTTTAATATGCAGAGCAACGACAGCAGAAGGAAACTAATAATCTATCACTGCAGGCAGATTAACGAGCTGATGAAGGTTAGTGGAGTCAATCAGCTCTCTGCTCCTCTTCCTCAGGAATTAAAACTGAATATATTTTAAAATGCCAAAAAATTAAATGAGAACAAAAAACCCCAAAACAAAATAGACAAATTTAGTTTTTATCAAAAAGCTCCACATTTGGAAAAATCTACAATCAAATGAAACCTTTAAATGGATTATTTATGTCAGACGATCATTTCTAAAGTTTCATTGGTTCCAAATCGTCTGAGTCACAGAGAGACGAAGGCTGCAGCAGCACTGCTCCTCTTCCTCACAGGAAGGTCAACATGTTTCTAATGAACCGAAGCTCAATCTGAAACTTTCCTGCTCTGAACTCACAGCACAGCACAGCCTGCGTGTGTGTGTGTATGTGTGCGTGTGTGTGTGCGTGTATGTGCGCGTGTGTGTGTGTGTGTGTGTGTGTGTTGTGTGTGGTGTGTGTGTGTGTGTGTGTGTGTGTGTGTGTGTGAGTTAAAAGTGATGACTCTGCTATCAGCTGTTAGCCATTAGCAGACAGAGTGACCTTTCCTCTTCCTCGATGTTCAGACTTCACTGCGTCACGTTCGGGTCGACCTCAGAACTGATACAGGAAGTTTGGTTTTTAACTTCCTGTTAAAAGTTTCAGAGCCGCTTCCTGAGCTGACCTCTGACCCCTGTGGATGTTTAAGGAATGAAGGATGTTTTGGTTGTTATGACAACTGGAGGCTCTCATTAGCACAGGTCGCCAGATGTTTGCAGGTCGCCAGATGTTTGCGGGTTGCCAGATGTTTGCCGGCTGCTTCAGGTTTAAAAATACTAAAGTAGCTAAATAACACTGCAGTGCAGCGTTTGGTCAGCGGGGGGCGACAGAGGCTGGAAGCTCACAGTTGGAACCAGAAAATTACACAAAGAAACAAAAATGTTTTTTCAGACGCCATGTCAGCAAAATTCAGCTGTTTTTATTCTCTAATGTAAACAATTGATTGTTCAACAATCAACAACTGATCGATCAAAATTAAAAGCTTTTCCTCTCCAAAACGTCATAAAAAAAATAAAGTTATTATTATTAATAATCATATTAACTGAAGGAAATGATTTTCTAGTATAATTATCAGGCACATATGCAGTCTGAAATATTTTATGCTATTTTATTTTATACTGATGTTTAAGTGTCAGATAAAAAAGAACTGAAGATTTTACAGTAGAAATGTATGGAAGACTTTTCCTGCCATAACTGTCATTAACTGTAGAAATAAATAAATGCTTTGATAAGGTAATTAATGTGGGAAATGTTGCATTTACAAATAAAAACTTTCACAAATTATTTGATTTCCATAAATTAATATTCATCATTTTGAACAGCATTAGTTCCACATTTTCATTTTATTGTTTTATTATTTTGTCATTTAATTTGTGTCATTTTTTTGCTTCATATTTTTTAAACTTACCATAATTTTTTGAAAAAATTATACAAATAAAGTTAATGTATGGTGGACCGATCATGCCAAAATGAAAAGCAGAACCCGGCCCGCTGGCTGTCCTACCCGGGCTGAGTGAAGTCGTCCACCAGAGTAACTTTCTCCACCAGGTCTCCGCCCACCGAGCGAACCAGTTCGTAGAAGTCGTTCTCCGTGAAGCGGTCGGCGCCGTCCGGCAGCCAGAAGGAAATGTCGTTGTGGAGCGGCGGGTATTTACTCAGAGGCTGGAGACACAAACAACGACATCACTTCCTGTCCGGTTCTGGACCAATCAGAGCTTTTGTTTTGTTTGGTTCTGATCCGCTCTCTGGTTCTGTTCGGTTTCAACAGAACCAACAGTCAGCTGATCACTATAGAGAGTAATGATGGTAGAATTACAATCATTGCTGCTAAAAGTTTTTGGACAATAGTTCTGGATTAACTTTATTTTTCTGGTATTTTTGCCAAATCTGAACTAAATTCTTCATAAAGTTGCTTTGAGGTTAAAGTTGGAACATTTTTCTATCGACTAATAAAGTATTTCTAATATCTGCCTGAATAAAAGCAGCTCTCTGGGTTTTATTTCTCCCTCAGAAATGATTTTAGTTTTATGATAACTTTGTTTCAGTAAACTCGCGTTTGGTTTGGATCTTATTGCTGGTTTTAGCAGAAACATCCAAACTGGTTCCAGTTTCTCCAGAATAATAATTCATATCCAGTTTCTATCAGCCGTATTTCACTCCGAGGTTAAAAACCTTTAAAGGTTTTTATGTTTTCTGGCTGCAAGAGTTTGGTCAGTTTTCTGCACAGTCGGCGTTTCTGCAGTGGATCCATTCATTAGAATCTGCTGAGTCATCAAATCTCCTGTTGCATCAATTAATCCTGAAAGAATAAAAACAGAAAAGAAACGAAGAACCGAGAAGAAACAGAAACAGGCAGCAGGAGGAACGGAGTGTGTGTGTGTGTGTGTGTGTGTGTGTGTGTGTGTGTGTGTGTGTGGGTGTGTGTGTGTGTGTGTGTGTGTGTGTGTGTGTGTGTGTGTGTGTGTGTGTGTGTGTGTGTGTGTGTGTGTGTGTGTGTCCAGCGGTTTCCTGCGTGCCGTTTGCTGCTTGCTGCTGATTACTCGGGGCGGTTCTGACCCGGGCAGCAGATGAGCCGCGGTCCCGTCCCTCTGGAGGAACCGGGTCGTTAATGAAGCCAGGGGGACAGGAAGTGGACAATGCGGCTTGTCCTCTGACCTTTGACCTTGACCCGCCCCCTCCCCTCTGATCAGTGAACAGGAACTGACCGTCTCTCCTGTCTCAGTTTAACGACGGCGGTCAGATAAAGACGGTGAGGAACAAGTCGGAATCTCAAGACGTTTTATCAGAAGAAATTACAATAAAAACAAATCAATGCTGCATGAAAGCCATTTTTATCAGGAAAATGTTAAAACCTGAACAGCTCTGAGATTCGCAGCCCAGAGGAAACGTTTGAGTCCCGTACCTGGAAGCAGATGGGCGTCTGGATGTCGTCCACCCTGAACTTTGAGGAATCGTTCGTCTCGACTCCAGAACAGCCGGATGTCCGGGATGCTGTAGAGGATCATGGCCAGCCGCTCCAGACCCAAACCGAACGCCCAGCCCAGCTTGTTCCCAGCGCCGGCTGAAAAACAAAAAGTCCCTCTTCACCGTGTTTGACTTCACTTCTTCTTTACCCACAAGCCTTTAATCCTGAAGACAACTTTTGAATGTTCAGATTATTAAAACCCACAAGTTTCCAAACGTCTTCAGGCTGAAACCTCCAGAGCTTTTCTGTTGTTTTGATGCTTTTTCAGAATCAAATTAGAAACGGAAAAATTTCCCTGAAGGGAATTTCTCTAAAAAGTTTTCACAATCGCTGAAGGCGGTTCTGGACTTTCCCAAAACGAGTTTGTCCACTAAAGCGATTGACGGAGACACATTAAGTAAATAAGTTCTGATGTAACGAACTCTGACCCGGACCCGACTCTGACCCGGACTCCTCAGTCTGCAGGTTATAAACGCCAAGATGGCCGCCGGTCTGGACCAGACGGCGTCTTCATCATCTAAATGAAGCCCTTATTGCTGCGCTGTCCGTCACTCGGCCTCAGGCCAAACAATATTCCAGCAGGTTTCTGATTTTCTCAAAACTAAAGCTCCTCAGCTGCACCGCGGGGGTCAAAGCAGAGGGTGAACGCTCTGTGGAATAAAGGATTATGGGTAAATCCAAGGATTTCAGGCGAGTTCGGCCTGGGACCCAGATGAGAGGAAGATGGTTTGTCTCTGAGGGACGAAGACTAATCGAGACAAACCTGCTTCCTGCCAGGAACTAAAACTGACGGAGCCGCCTGTCAAGGTTCTGATCCGAAGATTATCTAATTAAATCGGTTAGAAGAAGCTTTAATTTGATCAGAGAACAACCAAACTGCTCAGAGGAAATAAAAGCCACTAAAGTGAGCTGGTATCAGTTTCTCCTGCTGAAACCGACACCAACAGGAAGGCTGGCTGAACCTTCCTGTTGGTGAGACGGAGGGTAAGGATGGAATTATGGATCATAACCAGATGGATCAATAACCAGATGGATCAATAACCAGATGGATCAATGACCAGATGGATCAATAACCAAATGGATCAATAACCAAATGGATCAATAACCAGATGGATCAATAACCAAATGGATCAATAACCAGATGGATCAATAACCAGATGGATCAATGACCAGATGGATCAATAACCAAATGGATCAATAACCAAATGGATCAATAACCAGATGGATCAATAACCAAATGGATCAATAACCAGATGGATCAATAACCAGATGGATCAATAACCAGATGCAACTTTACCTTTAAAATGTTTAACGATTGTTTGAGGTGATTTTCGGTTTTTCTGAAGAGTTGCTGGGTTAAACTCTGCTGCAGCGAACGCTGCCCCCTACTGGTGGCTCAGAGCCTTACCAGTAAGGACATAACACACACACACACACACACACACACACACACACACACACACGCGCGCGCACACACACACACACACACACGCACACACACACACATCTTCACACACACACACACACACACACGCACATCTTCACTCACACACACACACACACACATCTTCACACACACACACACACACACACACACACACACACACGCACACACACACACATCTTCACACACACACACACACACACACACACATCTTCACACACACACATCTTCACACACACACACACACATCTTCACACACACACACACACATCTTCACACACACACACACACATCTTCACACACACACACACATCTTCACACACACACACATCTTCACACACACACACACACACACACACATCTTCACACACACACACACACACACACACACACACACACAGTGACATGTGAAGGTGGAAACCTGCAGGCCAAACGGATCCAGATCCTCCAGATTCTGGTTCTGCTGCAGCAGGAAACGAGCCGCAGCATCAATCTGTCGCCGGATCTCAGGTTTGGTGACTAAAGTCCAGATTTACGGCGCTGCAGCTGCTTTTTATGCTGCACGTCTTAAAAGCAGCAGAGGCGGCCATCAAACTGGTAATGGGAGGTTTACTGGTGTCAGACTGGAGTTCCAGTTTCCGTCCTGATGGAGGAGCAGCGCTGCGTCTGAACAGCGGTTTCCACAGTAGCTGGTTTATTAGCCGACGTTTAAAACCGGAGAGTTTTCTGGTTTTAAGGGGATTTTTATTCACAGAGGATGAAGTTTAAAATCACCAGAATAGGTGAAGCATTTCCTGAAGGTTCAGACGTAAAATGATAAAGTTAAAACTGCTGAACTTCCTGTTTCATTTCTTCTGCAGCCCGACTCGTTTCAGCCAATCAGGAAGAACCACAGGAAGTCATCGACCGCAGCATGGCGCCGTGGAAACCAATCAAACGGCAGGAAACGGACCTGCAGAGTCCAAACTGGGAAAACTGAGCCAGAATCTTCTAAACATTCAGAAACAACGTGGAAAATAAATCTGAACCGATTCATTTCGATTTGTTCCTGCAGCATCAAATCAACTCTTCCTCCTCTTCCTCACCATCATCATCATCTGTCCTGCTCTTAGTTTCTGTTTTTCTCGTTTTTCTCTTCCTCTCGTTTCTGCTCCTCTCCTCCATCAGTCTTCCTCCCACTCCTCCTCCTCTTCTCATGAACATTTCCTCCATCGCTCCCCGTGTCTCCTTCCATTCAGCCGGCTCTTCGTCACGCCGCCCTCCTCTTCATCATGCAGGTAGCAGACTTCCTGACCCGTCGGATCGGTTCTGATCCACTCCTCCTCCGTTCTTCTTCTTCTGTCTTTATTTACGTCGTCGGCTCCAGGAGCGGCGGATCACAGGAAGGTCATAAATCAGAGGAAGTGAAGCTTCCTGCTGGAAGAAACCAGCTTCCTGTCTGAACTGGTTCTGCTGGAGATCTGAACAGTTAACCATTACAACCAGTTGGTCACTGGATTCAAGACAGAATCACAGCAGAGCCGCCATGTTGCATCGCCGCTGGGACCTCCCAGCTGGGGGTTTGGTGCCTCTGGTAAGGCTGAGAGCCACCAGTGGATGTCTAGTGAAGATGAAGTGATTTTTTTTCCTGCTGCGACGCAGCGATGCTTCCTGCGGCGACGCTTCCTGCGGCGACGCTTCCTGCGGCGACGCTTCCTGCGGCGACGCTTCCTGCGGCGACGTTTCCTGCGGCGACGCTTCCTGCAGCAACGTTTCCTGCTGCGATGCTTCCTGCGGCGACGCTTCAACATGAAGGTAAAACAGTGCTGATGAAAAAACATCCAGACTTGGAGCAAAAACCTTTTGCCTTCATCGTAGTGATGATGCGTTCTGAGCTCTGATCCATCCAGAGGGTTGCAGAGGAACAGGAAGTTCAGCAGAAGCCAACATGTCAACCGAGATCTGAGGAACGTTTCTGAAATGGCTTCCCGTGACCACTAGAGGGCGGCGCCACTAAACCCTTCCTGCTTCGCCTTGTTTCCATGAGTTAGGGAGCGCCTTTCAGAATAAAAGCTCCAACAGGAAGCCGGTCCATCCATCAGCGGCGGTTTCAGACAGCTGCTGTAGCGAAGCAGTTAGACGTTAACAGGAAAAGCCTCGGAGGCTCGCCGCTTCGCCTCGCCACGCCGCTACACACTCATCCGTCACTGTTAGCAACAGCCAGCAGACTATTGGCAGCCGCAGCCGTTCCCCTGCACCGTGATTTATAGATGGAGACTCAGCAGCTGCTCCGGGACGTAAACACGACCGCAGGGCAGCGCGGGAGGCCGGCAGCCACAACAGGAAATGGATGTTTTCTACAGAAACATCAGAACTGAAACTCATCGCCTCTCTGTCTCCCGTCAGACGCATCATGGCAGAAAATACTCAGGAAGGTCCGACACGTCCCTGCAATCTGCCCAGAAATGAGATTTTAATACGTTTTTCAGTGTGAAACCAGAAACATGGCGACGGTTAGGAGGGTCTGCTTCCTACAGGTCAAAGGTCAAGCTCTTACAGTATGAAATCAGCAATACATCAGGGAGAAACCACAGAATACAAAACTCCAGAAATAATTCAGAATATATCAGAAATGTATCTAAAATACATTTGCACTGAAAACTACATATAGTGCAAACGACTAGTTAGTTACAACTAACTAACTAACCGTACAGAGCAGAATTCAGTCTGCTAATCCACCAATAGTGGAGCTAACTTTTAGCATAGCACTTAGCTAATGTTTAGCACACTTAGCTTTTTTATTTGTAAAGCATTAATTTACTTTATTTTCATGTAAAATTTCCCTTGAATAAAGTTTGATGTTTTTATTATTAAACTGTTTGCAATTCTTCAAGTAGTCAAGCTTTTATTTTGAAGGGGTGAAGATGCAGCAGTTCTGTTTCCTGTTCTCTTGTTTTCTGTTTTTTCATCAGTTAAAACAATAAAAACTGGAACAAAATAAAACTGAGTGAGGAAAAACATATGAAACATGTAAAGACGTTACATTACATTAGAATGTAGACGTGTAATTACAAACTTAGCCCACTTGAGGGCGACATACTATGTTTTCAACACAGTTGAAGCTAAGTGTGTTAGCATTAGCTTCTGCTAAATGCTATCTTTATACAGCGCCTTAGCACTAGCTTAACTAATGTTTACTAGAGCCTTTAGGTTAGCACAGCTAACAATTTAGCTAGCGGTGGCGACGCTAATGCTAACTATGGAAAACACGACCAGAGGTTGATGTGTCTAATCGGGTCAAATGCAACATAAAGAAATAAAAGCTGATATCTCAGCAGAAACAGCAGCAGCTGTTGTCCTCAGATCAACCAGAGTCACAGGATCCTGAAGTTATTTCCTGTCTGAGTGCAGAACCAACCGGCGCTGAAGCTTTGAGGAATGAGATTTGGTCCAGAAACATTTGGTCTGACAACATGTCTGCACTCAGAAACATGAACTGGAGCGTCCAGTAATGAATATGGATCACCATGGACGCCATATACAGCGCAGCAGCGCCTCCTATCAGCCTCCTGCATTAGTTATGAGGTCAGCATAAATCATGCAGCAGGAAACACTGGGGTTACCTGGGCGCCTGCAGGTCAGAGTGCAGGGAAATAATGAAGGTTTGAAATGT